CCCTGGCACGGTTTTGCCGCACGGGTTTTTAGCACATTTGGATGCGGTCATAACAAAAACCGTGCCAGGGTTGCAAATTAGGCTCCGCCCCTGACTTCGCCCACTTTTCTCCGGAGTTTTTTTTCCCCGGAAATTTTTTTCTCCGGAATTTACGGGGTCTCAATTTTCGAAATTTCAGGTTTTTTGCTAGAATTCATCTTTTCAGAGGTTTTCTTTGGGATTTTTCGAGTAAAAAAATGTGTTCAGATGAAATTTTCTAAAATTTCCAACTTTTTTTCCAGATTTTTCTATTTTTTTCGGAAATTTTCGAGAAATTCGAATTTCAAAAAAAAAAAACAAAAACAACAGAAACTTCTTCACTACAAAACATCAAGTTCTACGTGCAAGATGCAATATTTCGAGAGAAGAAAGAAGAAGATGAAGAAGAAAAGGGACTTTAAAGAAGAAGGAGACAACACAGAACTGCACGTGAATGGCTGAGAGAGTCCTATGATTCTGATTTTTTTTCGTTTAAAAATGGATTTTTAGGTCAATATGTGTTTCTGTGTGTCCGGATGTCCGTTTTAAATTTTCGAATGTCTAAAATCTATCCCATATAAATTTTTTTTCCCTTTTTCATATTGATTCCTCAGATTTTAGGAATCACAAATCTCGATAACAATAAACAATTTTTCTCAATTTTGTCTCCTGATTTCCTTTAATTTTTTATCTAATTTTTCATTTTTTTTCCATCAACAACACACAAAAACATTGATTCCTCTCCTCCTAGTTCACATGACGAGACGTCTCTCTCCTCCTCTCGCTCCCTCTCTTTCTCTACCGTCTCTTCTGCGCACCATTATCTCTCATCTCCTCTTTTACTCTACGTCTCTCTCCCATGCGACGCCAACTTTATCGAAGAATCGTCTCACTGTTGCCACTTCTGTTTCGTTTTGAATGCTTATTCTTTCTCAATTTTCACCAAAAAATAACCATTTTCAGAAGGATGTTGTCCGCCAAAGGCCCACAAATGCGCGCGTTCACTCAGCGAATCGCCGCGTTCTCCACTCAGGTTGGACGATTTTTTCAGTTTTTTTAAATCCAATTTTCAATTTACAGGTCCAAATCGATCCGACACCGATCGTTTTTGTTGGAAAGGGCACTACTCGTAAGTTCTTGATCTCCATACAAAAAAACCGCCCAAAAAAGTTCCAGCTCGCCAAAACTCGTTGTTGGGACCAAACGACAGTCAATATCCGTTCCAGGGAGACGTCTCGTTTGCTCATAAGGTACGGAAAGATAGATGAGGCATCTGTGTGAATAAAAGATAATAGAAATGAAGTTCTAGGTCATCAGACTTTGCCATTTGGAATCCTAGGCCATCAAAGCCGAAAAAAAGAATGTTAAGCCACCCCGAAGCTAGTTTCGAAATTTCTTGGCTATTCTCTTCTTACGATTATGAATCGCTAGTTCATGATTTGAAATTCTAGATCACAAAAGATTTAGAATTGAGATCCTAGGCCATCAAAGCCGAAAACAAGCATTCTAGGCCATCAAAATATCATTTTCAGCCACTAAGCCTTCGTCAGCAAAAGGAGAACTCAAAAATCGAACGTGTGATGGATGACACCGAGCACTCACTGATCAACCTCCTCTCAAACACCAACATTGAAGTCGACCGTACTCATTTGGCTCAACTAAAAGAAGAAGCAATGGAGGAGATTCAGGCTAACGCCGCTGATGTTGAAATTGAGCTCTCCGCTATTGAGGCACCGAAGCTGCTCAAGAAGGGTTAGTCCTGAAACTCCGTTAAAAAAGAGGCGCTTCAAAAATGTCATAAATTTCCAGAAATGAAGTACCTGTTCCCACAAATGGAGACTCAGAAGATGAGCAATGTTACTGTTTTCAATTTGACCCAAAAGTCGGAATTTGACATGAAGGCGTGGAGTGAGTCGATGGAGGAGGAGAGAGAGAAGCTCACCGCGTCTTTCATCATGTCCGCTAACGCCATCTGCTCGACACTTCATCGTTTCGGTTATTGGGCGGATTTCATTGATCCATCTTCAGGTGCGTTGATGTTTGCACCGAGAAAACAACAGATTTGACGACACTTTTGAAAAATTTAGTTAAAATAGGCTTCAAATATTCTTCCAGACATTTCAAAGCTAAAAAAACAGATTTTCGAATGTTGTCGTCGATCCCGCTGCTCTAAACTCCGTAAACACCGAATTTCTTCTTTCAGGCCGCCCATACATGGGAGACTACACCAACCACACCCTCTTTGAGACCAACGACGCCTACAAGCAGATGGGATTCAAGATTGAAGATTTGGGATGTTGCAAGGTGCTTCAACACGCCTGCTGGGGATCCCACGCATTCGTCGGAACTATTTTCACAGATGCTCCAGTCGATGGAAGTGCGGTTAGAGACATTCTAAAGAAGGTCACTCAGGAGGTAAGGGAATTGAAAAATGGGTTGGATTGTGTAAAAATGAAAAAGGGAAGACATTGAAAACGAATCAATTTTAGTTAAAAATTAAATAAAACTTTGACTATAAAAACTTTTTATTTCCAGATCGACGAATAAACATTAGCAGTCTGACGTCTTCTCCCAAAACTCCAGATGCCGTTAACAGTTCATTTTATTCCGTTTGTCCATTATGAGTCGATTTCTCTACCCTCCTCCCCATCCCGTTGTTCAAAAACCGTATTTTCCCCATTTCAGCGTATTTCCCTTCTCTGTAAAATGATTTTTCCCCTTTATTATCTATATATTGACTGACTAGAATGCTTTCCATTTGGTCCCCCGCCCCACTTGAAATAAATTTTTTCGTAGATGTATATAGATTTCTTTTTGTCTAAAAATGGAATAAACTTCTAGAACCTTCCTCCCCAATTTCTCCTCTTTCAAGGCTTCTCTAATTTTCATTCTATCCACAATAAGTTTCTAATCTATCCAGGTACTTCTAAATGTTTGGAAAAAATAGAACATCATCTGAAAGTTCAGATGACGTCGTCAGAAGACGATGAAGCGGCGGCGGACGTGTACAGGAGGAAGCAAATGACGTTGGTCGAAGTGTTGGTGATTTATGTCAATCAGTTTATAGTAAGCTTTTTTTTGGTTTGGCGGGAAATTTGAAAAAAAAAATTACGTGAAAAAAACCGAATTTTTAGGTGAAATTTTTTTTACGTGAAAAAAATTAACGCGGAATTTTTAAGTGAAATTTTTGACGTGAAACTTTTTCAGTAAAATTTTTACGTAAAAAATTACGTGGAATTTTTAACGTGAAGTTTTTTAGGTGAAAAAAAATTTACGTGGAATTTTTAGGTGATTTTTTAGGTCAAACAAATTGCGTGAAAAAAATTTGGTTGGAATTTTTATGTGAAATTTTAACTTAACATTTTTTACGTGTATTTTTTGCGTGAAATTTTCAACGTGAAAAAATTTACGTGGAATTTTTTTTGGTCAAAATTTTTTAAGTCAAAGAATCAAGAAACATTCAAAACTTTCTAGGTCATCATGAAAATCCTAAACTATTAATAATTCCAGAAGTCTCTTCCTGCGTTCACTGGCCAAATCATTCTGATCTTCTGCGTCCTACCTGTCTCCTTCTCTCTCGCCATTTTCCTTGTCACCGCGATTTTCAATTTTGGCATCGCTTTCATTGCTCAGAGTGAGTTTAAAAACACCCAAAAAAAAAATTAAATCCAATTTTTTCCAGCTGTCTCCACCGTGATCCTAATGCTCATCCTCATCCCCTCATTGGCCATCTGCATTGCCAGCGCGATTGCCACCGCCTACATTCTTCAATTCACTCAAAATATCTACCTTAGAATTGTTAATTACCCACCCAGTTATTCAGTGAATTCCTCAAATCGCACGATTATCCCACCACCTGAATATATTCCGAAAATGGAAATTGAGGAGAAATTGAAAACTTGTTAATTGATTTTTTTTTGCTAATTAATGTTAATTATTTTGTATTTTGATTTACGGTAACTTTTCTCATACGGTTTTCTTATAATTTGCCTTTTTTATACATTCCAGAAGTAATTTACTTGTAATATAAGATAGATAGATCAGTTGAATAGAGATTATAATAAATTCTTTAGAGATGCAGACATCTGGAGATTTGGACAGACGTACAGAACTTCCTTGAAAAATGAAGATTGAGAGATTCAAAAATTTATGAAAACAAATATCAAAAATCCCAATTTGAAACAATTTGAAAATCGAAAATAACTGCAAGTTAGAAATATTTTAGATTCTGAAATTCGAAAAATTCAAATCTTCAAAATCCAAAAAATCGGAATAGTTTTGCTTCAAAATTCTGAAATTACGGTATTCTGAAATCTGAGAATTTAGGAAATGTTAAATATCCAGATTCTGAAAATCAGAAAACAGAAAAAACTCAAAAACTCAATATTCCAAAAAAATACGGATAGTGAGGCTTTAAAAAAACCTGAACCGAGAAAAAATTAGGTAGTAAAACTGTTAGCAGTTTGCAATTTAGGCTCCGTGCACTTTTCAAAAGTCTAAAATTCGAAGACTTCAAATTCCAAAAAATCGGAATATTTTAGCTAGTTCTGGAATTAAAATATTCAGAAATCTGAGAATTCAGAAAATGGGAAAGTCCAAAAAAATCAAAATCCCCCTTTCGAAAACATACTGAGGTCCTCAAAAAATTGGGAAAACCTACGAGGTAAAACTGTTAACAGCTTGCAGTTTTGGCCTCTTTCTCCATTTCTATTCTGTGTACTTTTCCAGCATCACGGAAACGGAATCGCACCATTTTTGGACTGCACTTTAAACCCCAAAAAAAGAATTGTGTACTGCTGATCACTGATAATTCTAGAGAAACTTCCTACGTACATATATAAAAACTTCTTTTTTTCTCTCCATTCTTTTCTAGTCGTAATTAGCAAATGATTGTAGAGAAAAAAGAAGACGACGACAGAAGGGGGTCTCAATTCTCTGCCCATCACAGTAGGAGAAATTAGTGATAAGAGGAGAAATAGTGTGTGTAAATCGAGAGAGTGGTTAGAGATAAGATAGTGTATTTGGTTATCTGACAGTGAATACCCGTGTCATTTGTATGTCTCTCTGTCTTCTTCTTCTTCTTCTTTATGCCCTATAGTAGTAGCCCCCCTAGATTTTTTTTGTTTTAGTTTCCTTTTTTGGAACAACTGGTTTGAAATGGGTCGTTCTTCTTAGGTGTGGTGCCTTGGGGCATCTAAAAACCACTTTTCCTTATAATTTTTATTTCTGGAAGTCCCCCGAAGCTCTTGAACTAAATGCTGAGCTATGCGGGGTCGAGCTACGCCGAGCCTAACTTTGACCCAATTTATCTCTTTTCGGGTGGAAAATATCAAAGAGGTGTCCACTGACAAAATGTTTTTGATATTGGAGTAAACATTTTGTCAGTTGACACATTTTTGATATTTTTAACAGGAACCGAGAAATATTGGGTTAAAGTATTGGGGACTGGTTTTTGTGTATGACAATGTGTATAAAATTCCGTAGGCTTCCTTTCGAAACAAAAATAGTTTTTTGAATTCTTAAATTCTGAAAAATTAAGACATGAGCAGATTTTCAATGTTTCAGGAAATTTTTTTGGCTGCTTACACGAAGACTGTCTGACTGATGTTTCTGTAATTTTTGGCACATTTTAGAGAACTTTTCGCTTTTCACAGTTTCAATTTCCGTTTTTGCCAGTACACATTTCAAAGTACGTGCCAATTAACTGAAAAATTGAATTTTCCGCTAATTAGCGCAACTAATTGATCGCGATTGTGATTACACTTTAAACTGTAGATTTGGTTTGGTGGTTAGAAATTTTAACTTGTCTTTTTTTGAATTGTTATACCTCGGCTCAAAAAAACCAGAAATCCTTTTTTTTTCAGGAAAATGACCAACGAAACAGCTTTAACATTGGCTGCTGCATTCATCGGTTCTTCGTATTTTTTGTATTGTAAACTTTTAAAATCTCAAAAACTTTCACTTCCAAATGGTCTTTCTGTGGATAAACAAGCCGTTGAAGTTAAGGTAAGAGACTTTGGTTTTTAGAAAATTTGCTAAACCAGAAGCTGGGTAAAATTCTGATTTTCCATTTTTGATTTTCCAGGATCTTCTAAAAGTTTCAAATCGTAACAAAACTTCTTTTTTTTGTCGTAAACCCAAAATCTGACTATTCCAAAGTTTAATGTACTTTCAATAAAATAAAAAAATCCTCTTCCAATAAGTTTTTTCATACTTCGACGCATTATCTTTGAAGTCAAGAAACTGTCAATTTTTCAATAAGGATTACTTTTTGGGAGCAAAAATTTTATGTCTTTTGAAAAAGTAAAAAAATGGTTTTTTGAAATATGAAAAATTAAGGAGCCTGGCAAGAAGGGTCGTGGCCTAAAGATCCAAAAAAAGCAAAGAGCAAAATTTTCAGGGACAACCAGGAGTCTGGAAAAGTGCGTTGATGGAAAATGAGAATGACGATGTGTTGACGAGATTCTATCCAGAAGTTGCCACGATTCATGACGTCTTCTTGAAAGGAAAAAAGGTAGGATTGATTCTGAATTTTTAAATGAACCTAAAAATGGTTGAATGGTTTTTGGGAGACTGAGATTATGATTCTTTTTTCCTGTAGTTCCGTCTGTTCTTCTTGAACTTTAATTTAAAAAAAAACGTTCCCAGCGTTTTTTGTATCTCTCTCCGATTTGCGCCGCCCTATAAAAAGAAAAAAGTACAAGAAAGTTTTCAAGTGATAAGATTTTCAAGTGATAAGTGATAAGAAAACAAAGTATTCAAGGGAAGCAAAAAAGGACATTATTCTCATGGCATCATCATCACACCATATTTTTTGGAATGAAGAAAAAATATAGATAATAAAAGTGTCTAAAGATTAGATATTGAACCTGGGTAGACTGGACTCGAGGGACATCGGAACCATGGGAAGTATAGGACTCTATTTCACAAATTTATTTTTTCAAAATTGGTTTCCACTTTTCAGGAGAGCAAAGGTGGAGCATGCGTTGGAACCAGAGCAAGCGCCACTTCTGAATATGACTTCTTGAGTTACGATGAGGTTCATGATAAGGCCCAAAAGTTGTCAATGGCTTTGATTCATGAGTTTGGACTCAAACCAGGTACGTCTACTTTCTAGCTAAATGTTTCGTGCTAGTTCAAAATTCTATTAATTGCAAACGTTTGAAGTTCTGACCAATTAATTTTGGAAATTTCCAGATCTACTTATTAAAAAATTTACATAATACTGAGATCATTTCATCAAAATTCCCAAACTCCTCATGTTCCAGGAAACACCACAAACATTGGAATCTATGCCCGTAACTCTCCTCAATGGCTAATCAGTGCATTGGCCTGCATTGAACAGTCAATGGTAGTGGTTCCATTATACGATACCCTTGGTGCAGAGGCAGCATCATTCATTGTGTCTCAAGCGGAAATTGAAGTGGTCATTGTGGATAATTTCAAGAAGGCAGAGTGTTTGATCCAAAATCGCGAAAAAATGCCAACGTTGAAACATGTTATTGTAATTGATAGTGCTGAATTGGTAGAGGGAATGGTGAGTTAAAATGAGCTAAGCAGTAGTCAAATTCAAATTGCTTCAGACCACCTTCGATACCATCCGTCTAGAATCTTTCGACAATGCTATCACTCTTGGAAGCCAATACGAATTCACGAACAACCTTCCGAAACCAGAAGACACTTACATCATCTGTTACACTTCTGGAACCACTGGAACCCCGAAAGGTGTCATGTTGACCCACGAGAATATTGTGGCGAATATCAGTGGATTCTTGAAGATTCTATTTGCATTCCAACCATCTATGATTGATGCGACACAGGTTCATATCTCCTACCTCCCACTGTCTCATATGATGGAGCAACTCACTCATTGGACACTTTTGGGATTCGGATCCAAAATCGGTTATTTCCGTGGAAGTATTCAAGGACTGACTGATGATATCAAGTCTCTGAAGCCTACAGTATTCCCAGTAGTACCACGTCTTTTGAACAGGCTTTATGATGCGATTACGGTAAGTCGTTGGAAATTCAACACATTGAAATTCGAAATTTCTTTTCTCCAGAGCAAAGTCCAACAACAAGGATTCATGGCAAAACTAGTCTACAACATTGCGTTCGCTCGAAAACTCAAACAAGTTCGTGCGGGAAAAGTTGGAAGAGACACAATCTGGGATCGTCTCGTCTTCAGAAAGATTCAAGAGCAAATCGGAGGAAAAGTGGATTTGATGGTCACAGGATCCGCTCCAATCTCCTCGACGGTTCTTGAAACTTGTCGTGTGACTCTTGGAGCCACAATTGTTGAGGGATACGGACAAACTGAGTGTACTGCTCTAGCCACGTTCACTTGGATGGGTGACCCAAGTACTGGCCATTGTGGAGCACCGGCTCCGTGTGCATTAGTAAAGTTGGGCGATGTTCCAGATTTGAATTACTATGCGAAGGATGGGAAGGGAGAGGTAAGGGACATTCGGATAGGCATACATAGTTCCTTTTTTTCTGAAATTTTTCAGATTCGTATCAAGGGACCATGTGTTACAAAGGGATACTACAAGGATCCAGAACGTACTGCCGAGCTTTTTGATGAGGAAGGATTCCTGCAAACCGGAGATATTGGAGAGATGCTTCCAAATGGAACCATTCGAATTATCGATAGAAAGAAGCACATTTTCAAGTTGGCACAAGGAGAATACGTGGCACCGGAGAAGATTGAGCAGGTCTATATCAGAACACCAGTTGCTCAACAGGTTTATGTCGATGGAGATAGTTTGGAGAGGTACGGTAGGGCGCGTTTGCCAGCTAGGTCATTAAAACTTTGATTGAACACTACTGTAGGTCTTGTCAAATTCAAAATTTTGGTGGTGTTCTGAAAATGTTCTGAAAAATGAAACAAATTATATTTTCTTTAATTTCGAGGGCTTTTTTCCAGATGGCTCATCGCCGTGGTAGTCCCAGAGCCTGATGTGATTATGGAGTGGAATGAGAAGCAAGGAGCTGGTTCAAGAACGATCGAAGAAATCTGCCAGGATGAAAAAGCAAAAGAATTTGTGCTCAGTGAGCTGCATGCAATTGGAAAAGCCAACAAATTGAATTCTATTGAACAGGTATGAACATGGATTTATTTTGATTTGAAGAAAAGTTGTTAAAGGTGGGGGGACATGAAGAAAATAAATTTCTCGAAATTCCGTTTACTTACGCCCCTCGAGGAGTTGAACTTGTGGAGGCGAGGATTGCGGGTGCGGCGCCGCTACCGGCTGAGCTACGCGGGCAGAGGAAAAGCGGCTTCCCGATTGCATACATAAAGGCGAGGACGACAGCTGTACGCAGAGTGACATTTAGCGTTGTACACCGTTACGGTAGAATGCATACTCTGGCCCCAAAAATCCCTCGTAAAATCTCCTGTCCCCCCACCTTTAAAACTCTGAACTTTATAGAACGAAACATATTGGGGCGCCTGATGATCGATGGTCTACATAAGCGCGGCGCGATTTCGTCCCCCGAACTGTCCCCCGAAATTTTTGCTGCCTCGCCTCCTTTAAAACAATTTTTTCAGGTCAAAAAAGTTATTCTAACCTCTGACGCCTTCACTGTGGAAAATGGACTTTTGACACCAACTCTAAAAGCAAAACGACCACAACTGAGGCTGAAATATAAGGATGGAATGGCTAAAGTTTATAAACAATTCCCGAATTTATAACTTTTTTAAAATAACTGTTTTATTGTTTTTAGTCTTTGTATATGGTAGTGTTTGCTATTTTAACAATATTACAAGAAAATAAAGTTTTGAAAAATCTTAAGATAATTCTTTAAAAACCAAAATATACAAATATACAGAAAACAAGCGGCAAGAGATGATATTCACAATTAAAAGAAGAGGTAATTGGCAAATTCGTATAAACTCCATTATCAACACTATCTAAATTGAAACACCTACTCCCATAAAAATGTAAATCACAACGTGGATCCATATCAATCGTGTCAAGACCCATTGGATTACGGTAGTCAGTGGGAACGAATGGGTGACGACAACACTCGAGGAGAGTGTTATTCTGGAGTTGAGCACTTGAAATAGTTCCCAATCCACGTGGCGATGAGAAAATCACCGAATGGCTCATCTGAAGCGTTTCCGAGATTTCGAAAAGGGGTTGTGTAGATTCTAGGAAACAATTTTGGATGATTAGATTTTGGATTTTAGAATTTCGAGTAGATTGGGATGGGATATGAGAAAGTCTAGAGAAATGAAGGTATAACGTGGAAATTTGAAGGTTAGAGAGACCAAAAGGACCAATAAGGTCAACTTTGGAATTTGAGATTTCCCAGGATTGAGGGGTGACTACTGTCGAATGATCGTACCGTTCCTGACGCATCAGAGATACTGTAGAATGGAAAATCTTGAAAACTTTCAGAGATCTGGGTAGTTCCAAGACAACAAGTTTGGAAGTTCGAAAAATATAAATTTGTGAAAATTCGGCTTTCTGTTGATCAAGTGTAAGGTGTTCACAATCTCCAAGAACAACTATTGAAATATTCGCGTCAATTGGGAATCTCGAAGGAATCGATGAAGTGGAAGATGTGCATGCGCAATCAGCAAGAAGGCTCGATATCCGACATGTGATTCCGTGATCTTCGATGGTGATAGATCGGGGTTCCACGCATGGTGACTGACTTGGAGGACGGCATCGATTATTGGAAATTTGATAAAGGAGTGGGGAATGTTTGGGAGAGTTAAGAAGGAATGAGTTGGTGGAACAATCAGAGGGTGAGCAGTCAATGGTGTTGTTGGCAAGGATGAAGGATGTTGGATGGGAAAAGGGGGAGAGCAATGATGGAGATGGCGTGGAGGTGGTTAGGTCGTTGGCGGTGACCGAGAGAGTCGAGATCTGAAAGTTTGCCAAGTTTTAATGAGTTTGGCTGTGAATATGTCACATTCATTGGCTAGGATAAAGAGGGATCTCAGGTCGGTGAGCTCAACGAACGATTTGAATAATCAACGACTACCTATTCAGTTTTATCTACATCTCTTACTACGTTTTCCATTTATCTCTTTGATTTTTTATTTCAAGGCTCACCTGATTATCCCCATAAAACGCTTCAGAATCCATCATGGTTATTCTATTCCCATCAACTTCAATCTCTCCAAAACTCGAATCTTTGAATACATTTTTTTCAATATTTTCTATCTTCGAATTCATTATTCTCATCTTTGAAATAGTCGAACTCTGAATCCATTCCTTTTCGATTATCTCTATTTCCATTCCATTGAAATCCAAAGTTTTAATAGTTGATTTATGAATACTGGACTCATTGAAAACTTCGATCTTTGATCCTTCAAATCCTATTTTTTGGATTTTCGATTTTTCAATTGCCTTCGATTTGAAAGATGTGATCTTGGAGTGATCGAATTGTAGAATGGATAATGTGTAGTTGGTGAAAGAGTACGAATCCACAGATCCAATTGAACAATTTGAGAAGATTACAGAATTTAGAGAAGCAGAAAGCGAAGGTTCTGGACGGAACACTGGAGTGTCGATGTCCTGAAAAATTTGATGTACATAATTTTCTGGAAATTCCCAGTTTTCAGATTTTCCTTACCCTTGAAACTGGACCAATCCTTTGAATATTTGAACTGGAAACTTCTAGAACATTACAACCCAACTTGTATGGACTCAGAATATTGAAGTTGGAAGAATGGATGAGGCATCTGGAAAAAAAGAATTCAAATTCCCGCCCAATTTTTAACTAACCTCTCAATAGTTTTCTGCTCTTCATTGAGCTCAATAACATTCTCCTCCTGTCTTGGTATTAAAAAAATCGTGGAATTTTTGAAAATGGTACTCTCAGAATTCAAGTTCAGAAGAAAAGTATCATGAGCAGATTCTACAGTAATCCCATCAAATATTAATTCATCCACTTGACTCTCAGAAAACGCTTCTGATTCTATCATTCCGATTTCAACGGAATCTTTGAAATATAAATGATCGATTTGATACATTTTTGAGAAAGCCTTTCGTTCGATTCGTCCAATTTTTGATTGATGGAAATAAATATAATCAATGTTGGTCAAATAGTGAAAAGCTTCCATTGCAATGACGTCGATCTGTGATTTGCGGATCCTGGAAATTCAAAGTATCAGAATATGATTTTTGAAATTCTGAACTGCAAATTCTTTCAGGAATTTTCAAAAACGTATAAAATCCTGTACTAGAAAGGCCCTTTTAATAGAAGGGCCCCCATAATAGAAAAGCCCTCTATGAAAATGGACCGCTCTTCAAAATGTGTTTTGAAATCAGAAAATTTCCGTACTTTTTCAGTGGAAAATATTCCGCGAACTCCAGAATTTAATAGAAATTTGTTGAAACTCTATTTTTCGATAAAAATTTTGATAAATTTTGGTGAAATTGGTAGATTTTCATGAATTTTGAACGAAACTTCGTCGAATTTTTCGTTGCAAATTTTCGGAAAAAACTGGCCGGAAAAACAGAAGGGCCCCCCGGAGATACCTTGGAACAATAGAAATACCGGCCCTTTTTTATACAGGTTTTGCGGTATTTTCGAAAATAATCATATCTTACCAAAAATGATCAATATGTGATAATCCGGCAAACGCGACTGGTGCCAAAGATGGTATGGTGACCTGAGAAATATAAATTTGATTTTTCTAAAAGCTTCTACATGAGAGCCATAAGATTTTTGACCTACTTGTTTCAATTTTAATCTTTTGTGAAAACAAAATTTTGTTTCTATTTTTAACATTTACTTTTTTGCTTCTATCTGTTTTTTTTCTAGAAAATCAGCTGAGCTACACTGTCTTAAACTCCTGAGAACCTTCCTCCTTTAACACATTCTTTTTTTTTTGAAAATTTAAAATTGTCTGTTTTTTTAAATAGTTGATTGATCACTTAACCAGTTGCGCTCTTTTTTGTCCCTTTAAGATTTTCAATTTACTCGGTTTTCCCCCCAAAAGTTTACTTTTTGCCACTTTTGTGTTCTCCGAATTCTACCAATTCGGTGCACAAATATTACATCTCTCGGCAAAAATTTTCAATTTAGGTACTAGAAATAGAAAACCTGAGAGAATTCGCTTTTTTAGTTTTGTTCTATTTTTTGAAACATAAATATCTCGCCTAGGATTACTGTAGATACGGATATGTGGATGAAAATCTATAGATCTTGGGGATTACTGTAGCTACAGCCATCTGACAGTAGGCTCTGATTGACTTTCTATTACGTTCTGTAGATTTCGCAATTCCTAATTTTCTTAACAAAAAACACTTTTTTTTTGGATGATTCATCTAGAAGAATCATCATCATTTCTGTATGTTTTGTTTCTTTTTTTTTTGTTATTTCCGTCAGTTTTCTCTGGTTTCTGTATTGTTTTTTTTCGTATGGTTCTAGGAAAAATAATTTTGAACCTATTTTTAGCTATTTATTGAGATGAGGATCATTAGAAATTCAAATTTCAGATGTCCCAGGGAATTCTGAAATTTCCAATTTTTCTAGAACATTTTCTCATTTCCAACTCTCTATGTGAACGTACTTTTAATAGTCGGGACACATACATCTTTTCCGAGAGAGAAAACCAGTTGTACTTTTTTATTTTCTCTAATCACCCTCCTCGATTCTCACACTCTCTAGCGTCTTTTTCGAATGGTAATAGGTGTGGATGGAAGGAGAGAGAGAGAGAGAGAGAGAGAGAGAGAGAGAGAGAGAGAGAGGGAGAGAGAGAGAGAGAGAGAGAAATTCTATACAGCTAACTGTTCAGTAGGAAGAAATAGAATTGGAATCAAATGTGTCTGTGTCACTTTTTGTTTTTTCTGGAATCGTTTTTTTCACCTACATCATCAATTACCAACCGTCTCGGGCTTTGAAGAATGCCTTTGAAGGCGTGCGGTTCAAAGTATAGGCGGCCTGAAAATGCATTTATTAGGCCGCCAGTTTTTAGTTTATGGGAATTCTGGTAAATAGGAATTCTTGATTTTTTTAATTCCATCTTTTTTTCCGATTTTCCAATCTCTGGAGAAACTTTTGAAGCTTCCGATCTAATTGGACTGTTTGATTTTCCAAATGTTCAAATCTTAAATTTCGAAAACTTCAGATTTGAAAATTATTCCGAATTATTAGATTCTTACCAATTGCAATGAATGTTAATCGGTCCACCAGTACCACTCCCGAAAAGCTTCCATTTTGTACAGTAACCTGAAAAAGTTTATTTTTCCGGATTCAAATTTCGAAACTCAAAAAAAAAATATGTTTAAAATTTTTATTTTCCATGTAAGAAAGGCGCTATGATGCCGTGGCCTAGGTTTCTCACTGCGCGGGAATTCAAATCCTATTTTTTTCAGCGCCGTTTTTCGGGGATTTTGGATTTTTTTGAATTTTTTCGCAATAATATTTGGAAAATACATATTTTTTGAAACATTTTAAGGCAATAAAAATTTTTGATCGGAGTCCTCCTTTAAAATTGTTTCAAAATTCCTTAAAAATTCCAGAAATCTTCTTTCGCTAAGTTTATAAATAAATCCTCTCCCTACCTTATCACAAGTGTGCACGACAAGTGAAGTGATATATGTGCTTCCCAAAGAGGAAATGATCAACTCTGACTTCTCTGACGTCTCGCATCTGTAAATGCTCTCTCGATTGATTGTGTCTGTGTCTCGCTATCCCTTTCTATTCACAGTAGTCTCCTTTCTTTTTCCGTTTTCCGTTCGGGTGGCTTGTAATCCCTAAATACGTACAAGCACCATAATGACTCCTCACAAGACACATATACAATAGTGTTTGTTTCTGTTTTATGATTGTTGATGAATAGTGGACTAGAAGTTGGTTTTCAAGATTTCGTGGCCACAAAAATCAAATTTTCCAAAAATTTTGGTCTAGAGGTACTGTAGTTACTACTGTAAGAGTTACACTGTAGGTAACTTTATGAAATTTTCCAAGTTCTTTAAAAATTGAAAACTTTGAAGTTTTACTTTTACTTCTATTTGTATTTAATTTCTTGCTAATCGTTTTCCCCGATTTTTTGAATTTCCGTGTATTCTAGGTTCTCAGGTAACACACCCAACACCTAAAATTAATACACCACATTCCACGCGCAATTTTTGAAAAAAAAATTTCCAGCTCATCACGTTCTATTGAAATGTCGCCTCATCAGCCAACTAGATGCTTTTTGTCCCACTTTCTGAAATTTCCGTTTTGAGCTCTCCGAATTGATCCTTAATTGCCAGAAAATCTGCGTTATTTTTTTAATTCAAAAGTTAATTTTCTCGGTCACTATCTCCTTTTTCATCTTTTTCTTTCTTTTTCTTCCATTCCTCTCAACAACTTCTTAGAAAACGAACCACTCGACTTGTCCCTCCCCAGCTGTCCATCATTTTTTGAGTCGCCGCTCAAGGTCGAACGAGAGACTGGGTGGCGCCCAAGAGACGCAGGCAATCGTATCGAGGCAGGGCGCACTTGCTTTTCGCTGAGGATTTCGCCGCGAATTTTGTGATTCGAATGAGAGAATGTTCTTGAGATTCTCGAGAGGCGGAAAACAAGGAAAACAGTTTTTTTTCTTTTTTCGGTGACAAATCGAGATTCCTTGTGTTCATTTTTCTGTTTGAAACCACCCACTGTGCCTATTTCTTCCTAAATTTCTGATTTTTTTGAATTTTGAAAAATTTTGACTTCAAAAAGGAAACTTTTTCTCAAACGAAGCTTTCAAAATTTATTTTTTTTCGGCGAAAATCTATTTCCTTTCACTATTTCGGCTGATCTCGTTCGAAAATACAGTAAAACCTGTAAAAGAATGGCCCCCACACTGCCAAGTTTGTGCTCAATTATCGCGGTTCCTATAAGAGATATACAAAATGTGTCAACTGATAAAATGTTTGTCATAATATGATCAACAATTTATCAGCTGACAACTTTTTTAAACCTTTCACAGGAATCGAGATAAATTGACCGAAAGTTGAAATTTAGAGGGCTCTTCTATTACAGGTATTACGGTAGGAATTTTCATCAATTTTGTCCAAAGAACCCATTTTACGCATTTTCTCTCTAGTTCGAAATCAATTTCAAAATTCATGAGTCATTTTCAAAAAATTGCTTTTTGAGATTTTTAAATCGATATTTCTACCTATTTTCTTAACTTTTTACTGAAAGTTTTCTCTTTTTAAAGAAATCTGTCTTTTATTTTCACTTCGTCTTATAATATTCCTCCTCCCATTTCTCTCGTTTCCTACCAACACCTTGAGTAAATACACAAATTTACCCCCATCGCAAATAATTTTTTGGGGCAATTTCAATTTTGTTTTTTTTTCCAAAAAATGTGTTTAGGGCCATATTTTACCTATAGGAAAGGCAAAAGTTCAACTTTTATGTGAAAAAAATAATGGGCTACAGCAGTAAAATAACTTCGACCGGTTTTTGAATTATTATTCACATTCTTCATGGATTCTGTGAAAAATCGGTTGATCTCCATACTTGCAAAATCAGGGCCTGGCCCGCGGTCCGGGCCGGGCCCTGAAAATTCTGAAAAAAAACCCGGCCCGTTGCAAGTATGTTGGTCTCTTCACCTGAAAAATGTTCCTGGTGACCGAAAAAATCCATTCTGGGAAGTCAGACTGGCCTAGAAACCTTAACAGTTAGGCCAGGCCTTATCAATGGTCTAGAATCCTTTTGCAGGATGCCTTCCTAAAACTTTTGATGGCCTAGGAATCTTGAAAGTTAGGCTACTCAAATGTCTCTTTTAAAAACTTATATGTTGTCTCTCTCATGACCCCCAAACCTATCCATGATTAAAGGGTATCTCTCCTCATATGGCCTGGAGGTTATTATGGTGACTGAATGTCCCAAACCGAACGGACACGGACAAAAAAATTAATAAGCACCAAGCGAGCGAGAGGACAGGAAGGACATCTGTCGTGTGTATCTCTCTTTTCCCGCTTTTTCGTGTAATTAGCTTGAGAACCACCCCTAGAGAGGTACGGATTAGGCTTATTTTGCAGTTGTGCTCATTTTCTGTCCAAAATTTGAAATCTTTTGGTCCCTAGAATTTAGTACTATACAGTTTCTAGAAGTTTCTAGTTGATTGAATCGTGCCCCGCCGGGTCATCATCGCTCTTTTTCTCTCTTCATTCGATGAATCATCTCGAATGTTTATACACGAAAAATATATCAATTTTTACACACTTTTCGTATCATATTTTTTGTGTTCGAGAGCTTTCAGACGATGCCATCACCATCGTTTGCCCCCATGATTGTCCAATATTTGACCAGTACCTGTGATGACACCCTCTTCTCCAAAAAAGATGGGCGGTCTACGTATTAACTGAAGGTTGTATTATATGGACACCATATATAGATCGAATTACAACCCCCTTTATGCGCTATGAATTTTTGATTTTATGCAAATTTTTTTCTGCTGGCCATCGTCGTTGTTGAAACTAGAAGAGAATATGGGCGGAATGTGGTTGTTTCGATTTTCTTATTGCTTGATTTGAATATAAGAGATAATATGGTTTTTAAACCTTTTTTCTCTGGCAGCTTCTAGAGAAATGACCTAGAAATTCAGTTAGCGGATTTCTAGGCCATGGTTCAAAATTTGTCATTTCAATGCTATATTTTGGAGATAAGACACACCCCCACAGTTTTGCTTTTAGTATCAAAATTTTATATGTTTGGCAGTGAGCTGTGTTATCACTACTAAACCTATGACACCTTCTCCTCCCATCCACCTGTAGGAAGTGGACATTCACTTTTTTGCTTCATTTCCACCTTTCCATCTCTCCCTCTCTCTCTCTTTGTTTGCTTTGTCTTTTCGGGCAATAGCGGGCCAGCAGCAACAACGAGCACTGGTGGAAAATGGCTCTTTTTCGTTTTTGGTTGCAGTGTTTTTTTCTCGTTACGTTCGTTCCCCTGACTCACGAGCATGCTATACTGTTTCATGGCAAATGCATTGTCTGGGGCACGTCGTTAGGGAATTGATAGGATGGTAGAAGACGAATAGGAGAACGAGTAGCAGACGTTTAGATGGAGAAAGCATTTCTGAAAAATTTGGAAAGTTGTGTACTGTTTCCCGTGTTAGTGGTCTATGTGGGGTCTAGTCCAAGTAGATAGATGGGCTCGTCTAGAAATCTATTGGACACTTCAGATACCCTGTGGCCTAGTCCAATGTTGGCTTGAATTGTCTCCACATGGCTGATTAGCCTAATGCTCCTGACAGTGAGTTATAAAAAGAATAAGCTTCGTCCAATTGAGATCAGTATCCCCTCCAATTTATCCAGTTCATCTTATAGACACTCAGTTCAGGCTCCTCGATTTAGTCCAGTTCATTTGATTCTATCTTATCGTACCTAGAGTCATCCTCAATCTTATCTACATTGGTATACTATGGCTATTCGAGTTATTCTTTCATTTCTCATCCGTATGATTTCTAGCTAGCTTGGCTCATCCCCTAATGAATCTCTCAGCTGTTTGAAACAGCCTGTTCCGATTATTAGAGGTGATTGGATTATGATCCCGGCTCTCAATCTCTTATCACCTCCCACCGGCTGACCACTAAATCTACAGTGCACCACCTCAATATTCATTTTTTCGGCTCTCCGTTTTTCGGCAGCTACCTGATCAGTTGCGTGATTGATTACACAATCTAACTGTCTGATGTTCTCGATATTCCATACCCCATCTCCAGTCAAATTTCCGTGTATTTGAACAACACAGAAAATTGAGAGACACGAAAAATGGGAATAGAAAAAGAGACTGTGTGTAACTCTAGCCTAATCAAACGATACATAGCAACATCGAAAATGCACACACTCACACACTTTTCTCACTTTCACGCATTGAGAGATTCTAGGATTCTAGATGACCTAGAAAACATAGCTCACCTGATAGTTCAACCACTGGTCTTCCTTATCCTTGGCTCGAGAATCTTCATAGCACGAAAATGACGTTCTTCTGGAAAAGAGGCTCTATTTCGATATTCCAAAATACCCGGAAAATAAAGGGGGATCTCTATTTATATTAGGACATACTACTAGTACGAGTCATCTTCTAATTTGTGCATGATGAGGGAAAATTGAAAAAAGGGATATAGGCAGACAGCAGAAATGAACACAATAGCTCTCTGACATTTCACCATGGTGTCCAGAAAAGGGAAAAAAAGAGAATGCGAACATTTTTATGGATGTCTCCTTCTTCCTTCCCTTTTTCAACCTGGACAATGGAAATGAGCAAAAAGTGTTGTTTTCGCTGAAAATTTCTGAGGAGCAAAAAGTTAGGTCGTCTCCAAGTGTAGCAAAATGAATGGAGACTTCAAAAGTAGGGTGGTGTGCCTTCAGAAGAAGTACCGGAAGATCTCGTTAACTCGTTGTGCTCTGACCCATTCATGTGGCTTCAAGTACCGGCGTCTAAGTAGTTCATCTAATTTCGGAGGTCCCGCCGCCTTGAAATTTGAAAGTTGGAGAGAGACTAAAAGGGATGAAAAGTTGTGTTAGAGATGTGTCAAAAAGGTTGTGTGTTGCGTAATGCACTTTGTCCCATCCTTCTTTTTATTTTGGGTCCTTCAAAGAGGACGTCGCCTCCTGACGTTTCCTTTTGATTCGTTTTGATTAGGACACGGAGGAACAAGAGGAACGCGTATTCTGAAGATTTGAGAAAGAAGGGATTTCGTGAAAGGGGTCTGAAGATTGAGGGAGTGGATGAAAGACAATGGACATGGCAACCTGAAACTGGGACGGTCTGCTCAAGTATGGTCTCATGAAGAATTTACGATTCTCTAATAATCGTTCTTTGAATAAGTCCTTCCGGATTTGTGATCCAACATGGCTCTTCTAGATTTAGAGTCCTAAAATGGAAGTCTCTGGAATTTTGCATGTTTTTCATCTGTTATTATTAGCAACCGCCGAAAACACGCTTGGTAAAGGTGCTAATTCGGTTAACCAGGTTTACACACCTGCTGGAGAAATTGTACGATTTTCTGCTCTCGAAATTCTAATGTTCCCATTTTTGGAACGATTCAGGCACTATCTGAAATAGAAATGATTTTTAAAGACTATTAGTTGTTGCCATTTCGATTTCTGCTGATAGCCATGTGATAGCGTTAGTCACAGACTCCGCCCACTTGGTTTCCTAATGACTCATAAATGGGGGAAAAACTGAAACACAACGAACACAAAAACGATTTCCCCTTACTTTCCTCTGCCTCAAGTGGTACCTTCATTTATTCGAAAAAAGTAGAGAACCAATAGCACTCGACTCTCTCTCTCTCTCTACCCATTGATTTCCGGTTCTTCTTCTCCTCGCTCCTTTTTTGGGGTAGTTCAGTTCGTTTGTCTTTTGTGTTGGCAAAAATGTCAATTAATTTACCAGTGACACAATTCTCTTTCTGTCTTTTTTCTCTCGAACAGTTTTGTGGTGTCGTCTGCGTCTTTCTTCTTGGTATAATTGACTTATCAATTTTTATCACTTCCCCACGGTTTTTATCACTAGGTATGGTCATCATCAATGCCGTCCTAGTCGTCACCCTTTTCAAAACGCCACGTTGTCTCTTTTTGGGTTCTTGGCAGAGTTTTTTTGGGAATTGGCTTATTCGGGCTAGAAGTGGCTGACAGTCACTCATCAAGTTCTCTAGGTTGATTTCAATTCAAGTTGTTTTTGGGCTAGATGTGGCTAAAGGCTCTCAGGGTTGTGTTAATCATAAATAAAGTTTTCAATTCATTTTTTAGCTCTACAGATTTTTCCCTCTCACTACCAGATCCACAAAAATAGAACCCTCTGTTACGTTTTTTCAATTAGATGACGTTATATATGGCTCCATATAACAAGATTCTAAGATTATACCCTTCGGATAGTGATCTCCACCATATGTCCTTTCTCTCTTGCTCATTTTCTTATTCCATCCCCCCTCCTTTGCCGCACAATTGAATTCACAATTGTTTTGGCTTGACTGACTGGTTAGCTTTCTCTTATTGCGAAGGGGGACAATGACTAAATTGGGTTGCTCAGCGTCTCTCAGACTCTCTAGACGTTCCGCGCGCTTTTCGCGGATTCATTAGAGGCGTTCGATTGCTGAGAGAGGAAGCTTAAGACTTCAGAAGACTTGAGCACCACCAGAAGGACGAGGAGGGAATTAGGCCGCCCTTCTGGTCAGTTAAGCTATGTGCAATTTATATGGCTCTCTCTCTCTCTCTGGAGCTCCACTCTTCCTCATTTGCACTCGTTTGTTGTTGTTGTGTTGGTCAGTTTGGGACTCTTCTGGAGGCAAACTGACTCATCTTTCTTCTAAGCCCCCTCTGAGTAGAAGTTGCTCCCGAGATTTGGCGAGAGAAAATTTGATGTCAAATTTCGCGATTTGGTATCATTTTTCTCTCTTTGGATATTCCCCTTCGATTGCTCAGCATTGGCTCGGCTCATGCATACAAAGTAGCCCGCTGGAGCTCCTTATATCAAGATTTTTTGATGAATGGAGGTTTCTGCTGAAGCAGAAATGTCAGTGGAATGAGTAATAGCTAGGGTTGGTCGGATTCTTTTATTTCGTACTATAGCTAGATTTGGAATCTAAAAACACTACATTGAAAAATTCAAGAAATTCCGGACATTTTTTAACTTTTGATCTACCAGCATTATACAAATTTTTGTCTCCACTTCACCCGCCACTTTTTTTTACACACATTCACTTTTCACTTTTTTTTTTCTCGCGCCCATTCATTTGAAATGTTCATGAATTGTTTCTTTTTTCTCTCTCTCTCTCTCTCTCTCTCTCTCTCTCTCTTTTCAATTCATTCTCCAATTGAACAAAAAAATAATGCGTTGTTTTCTTTTTTCTCTATATCTCCCACTCTCTCTGAATCCCTTTTTCTTCCACTTTCGAAATCCATTCTCTCTCTCTCTCTCTCTCTCTATCCTTTTAGTTTTTAGTCGTTTTTTTGTGTTTCGCCCAACAAAAAAGATCCTTCAGAAATCTCCCAGATTCTTGATCGGATCACTAGCAGATGTGTGTAAACGTTTTTCAAACTTTTTTTGTAGTTTGTAGAGCCCCAAAATCTTAATAAAGCTCCCTTTTTTAAATAGTCGAAATGAGTAAAAAAATTGGAAGCCAGATGACCACTCTGGTCCCCATTTTATTGAATTATATATTTTTTTTTTCGCCGGATTTTTCTAGATTTTATAGCTTCCACAATTGTCTTTTTTGAACCGAAAATCGAAAGAATTTTATGTTTTTGATTTAAACAATTTTTCGAAAAAAAAGAGACGCAGGCGGGAAAAATGGGCGGAGCTTATGCAGAAATTAGTCATATCTGCTGATCAGTTTTTGATCAGCTAAATGGTCAAAACAATCTTGGAAATTTCGAAAAAGCTAGGAATCATGAGGATGACGGACCAGAATAATATCCCAAAAAATTCCATATGGATGCAGTCCTCATTTTCTTTTTCACGTCATCACCATGATCCCTAGCTTTTTCTCGAAATTTCAAAATTTCCAGGCTTGTTTTGACCGTTTAGTTGATCAAAAACTGATCAGCAGATATGACTAATTTCTGCATAAGCCCCGCCCAATTTTCCAGCACTCACCGCCTGCGTCTCTCCATCCCTTGCTCTCTCGCTCGTCTCCCGCCCCCACTGACAATAATATCATTCGAGACCATTTTCTTTTCATTGTTTCCGCTCTTCAATTGTCTCTTTTTTCATAGTTGCAAGCGGGCTGGTCCGGGCAGGTGGCGGGCCGGCTGATAACTTTTCCCTAGAACGAGATATTCAGATTATTTTGGTACCAAATGATAGATCACCAAAACCATCTGAATATCTTGTTCTAGGGACAAGTTATCAGCCGGCCCACTTCCAATATGCAAAAATCTATACGGATCCAGACTTCATTTTGTTTGCCACATCATCACGGTCCCTAGCTTTTTCGAAATTTCAAAATTTCCCGTCTTGTTTTGACAGTTTAGCTGATCAAAAACTGATCAGCAGATATGACTAATTTCTGCATAGGCGCCGCCCATTTTTCCAGCATTCACCGCCTGCGTCTCTCCATCCATTGCTCTCTCGCTCTCCTCCCGCCTCCACTGACAATAATATCATTCGAGACCATTTTCTTGTCATTGTTTCCGCTCTTCCTCTCGAGCCGTTTTTCAAAAATTTCCTCTTTCAGACGCTGCAGATATAAATACATATACACAGACAGACGACGATGGCTTGGAGATTTGCAGCGTCAAAATTCAAAAATACCACGCCGAAGCTTCCGAAGAAGGAGGTAAGAGAGACACTTTTTGAATCGTTTTCGCATGTTTCTAGCTACTATTATTTCAAAACTGACCGACAAACGTTTCTATTAATCATTTTTATCACTTCTAACTGGCTGGCGTACCTTTGACGCGCCCTTTGCATGTCCCTTTTCACCCTATGTGTCGCTTCACTCTTTGCAAATGTCCGTTTTTCTCTTTGGTTTGCTTTTCCAGAACGGTGAAGAAGACGTCGTCGGTCAGATGATGTATGTAGATGATCAGCATGATGATGGTAACAGTCATCTTCGCCACGTGGCAGGAGGTCAGAACCTCGAGAATTCCGATGTCGATGATAAAGAGACTCATGTGGTGACGTGCAAACTGAAAATCCACACGGTCCGTTTTTTTTTAAAGTTTTTGCATCTTCCCGCGCCTTGTCCATTGTCCCATGTCCTCCATTTTTTGTTGCATTACCCGCTTTGCACCCGGAAATTTTAGTTTTTTTTTCTGAGAAATGACAAAAATAGCTGAAATTAGCCGTAGTTTCCTTTTGGATTCCTAGCCCATACATCCCTATTATTTACAGGACACAATCTTCGACTTGCCCGTCGGTAACCTCTCTTGTACAAATGACGGAATTCATGCGTCCGCAGACTTTCTGGCGTTTCACATTGAGGGCGAAGGCGGCAAGCTTGGAGTTTTGCCGATTGGAGCCAAAGGGCGGCGGACTCGAAACGATATTTGGATCATTGCGGCTCATGGGGGTAAGTTTTGAATGGTTTCTGGGGGATTCTAGAGGCAATATTGGCTCCTGGACGTTTCGGAACCACGACGTTTCACAACCACCTCGGGTTCTGAAACGTCTAGGAGCCGCATTATTTAGGGTTTGAAATGGTTTTGATAGGTTTGACATCATCTACAAAACGCAAAAACTTCATCGCTCGAATTTTCAGAGCAAGTTTCGGATTTCGGATTCATGACGTACGCTGATCAACTCCTCGCCACATGCAGTCGTGATGAGCCAGTGAAGATTTGGAAGCTCTCGAGAGACTCTTCTCCTCAGCTGGCCACAGAAGTAAACGTTGGAGCTGGTGTCGTCACTGAGTGCCTCAAGGCCCACTCGACAGCCGACAATCTTCTGGCTGTTGGATCGCATAACTCTGCCTACATCACGGATATCTCTACGAAACGGGTAGCTATTGAGTTGACGGGCATCACTGATAAGGTTCAAGCCATGGGTTGGAGTGAAGACGGACGTCTTCTGGCTGTCAGTGGAGATAAGGGACGACAGATTGTTGTGTACGATCCACGTGCCAATACGGTACCGATTCAGACGCTGGAGGGACACGGCGGAATGGGACGAGAGGCGAGAGTGTTGTTCGCTGGGAATCGATTGATCAGCACTGGATTCACGACGGTAAGGATGGGTGGGAAAAGAATTCTGAAAGGTTCTAGGAAGCTTCAGAAGAAAAAAGACACAATTTTCTCTAACGATTTCCACAAATCTCAATTTTTCTAGAAACGAATCCAAGAAGTCCGTGCTTACGATACTGGAAAATGGGGATCGCCAATACACACTCAGGAATTCGTCTCGACCACCGGAGTCCTCATCCCCCACTATGATCCGGACACTAAGCTTGTCTTCCTTTCTGGTAAAGGAACCAACAAACTGTTCATGCTAGAACTCCAAGATCGGCAACCATATCTCTCTCACGTCTTTGAGCTCACCCTCCCAGAACAAACGCTCGGAGCAACTGTTGGATCGAAGCGACGTGTCCACGTTATGGACGGAGAAGTGGACACTTACTACCAGCTCACCAAAAACTCGATTGTCCCAACACCATGCATTGTGCCACGACGGTCATACAGAGACTTCCATGCGGATTTGTTCCCAGAGACTCGTGGTTCGGAGCCAGGATGCTCTGCTAGTGAGTGGCTCAGTGGAACAAATGCTGCTCCACCAAAGACTAGCCTTGCTCCATCAAGTTCTGCCTCTCCACCGCCACCAGAACCAATGCCACCTCAACAAGCAGCTGTTGCCCCTCCTCGGCCAATGTCGATCTCTTCGAATAATGTTCCGAATGGAAAGGATCATCATGTGCCAGCTCCACGGAAAGAGGAAGTTCGTGAATTGGACTATGGAGTCTATGAAAAGGAGAACGGTGCTGTTAGATCAACTGCCAAGACACCAAGTGCCGAGACGAACAGCACTCAAGGAAACACATCTCCTCTCACCACCAACTCACCAGATCCGATTACTGTAGTCAGTGCAGTCGGAGCACCGAAAGCCACATCACCACCAGTTACTGGATCCGCATCGACTCCATCTGTATCCACTCCACTCACTGTTGGACCAGCATACGGAGAGAAGCCAAAGGAAGCTCCGGTCAATTTCCGGAAGCCAATTGGAGCATCGAACCGAGTCCCACTCTCGCAGAGAGTTCGTCCGAAGTCTTGTGTCGTTGGACAGATCACATCGAAATTCCGCCACGTGGATGGACAACAAGGAACGAAGTCTGGTCATGTGTTCTCGAATCTTCGCAATGTGAATACTCGTCTGCCTCCAGAATCTAACGGAGTTTGTTGCTCGAATAAGTACGCAGCGGTGCCATTGGCTGGACTTGGAGTTGTTGGAATCTATGATGTTGATGCCCCTGGAAAGCTTCCCGATGGAGTTATGGATGGCATTTTCAATAAGGCGACTGTCACTGATCTTCAATGGAATCCATTCGATGAGTCGCAACTTGCAGTGGGAACGGATTGTGGACAGATCAATTTGTGGCGTTTCTCGGAATCAGATGGACCACGAAATGAGATGGAGCCGGAGAAACAGATCAAGATTTGCGGAGAGAAAATTACATCGTTGAGATGGCATCCATTGGCTGCTAATCTTATGGTTGTTGCACTTTCGAACAGTACCATTGAGTTGTGGGATGTTTCGGAAGGCAAACTGTACAGTCGATTCGTTCAACATCAATCTGGGATTCTTGGAATCGCTTGGTCGGCTGATGGGCGGAGAATCGCTTCTGTTGGAAAAGATGCAACACTCTTCGTCCATGAACCAGCCACTGCTGAGCAGAAAGTCTACGAACGGAAGTCAGTTGTCGAGTCGACCCGCGCGGCTCGTGTCCTCTTCGCCTGCGACGATCGCATTGTGATTGTGGTTGGAATGACGAAAAGCTCACAACGACAGGTTCAGATGTACGATGCGACTACGGTAGACCTCAGACACATCTACACACAAGTCATTGATTCGGCCACTCAACCACTCGTTCCACACTACGATTACGACTCGAATGTGTTGTTTTTGAGTGGAAAGGGAGATCGATTTGTGAACATGTTCGAAGTGATCTACGATTCGCCGTATCTCTTGCCGTTGGCTCCGTTTATGTCCCCAGTTGGAAGTCAAGGAATCGCTTTCCATCATAAGATTAAGTGAGTTTTTTTGTGAGAAAATGATCAATCGGAAGCCTAAAGACGTTTTTGAAAATTTAATTTTGAAACCAAAAAACTCCTAAATAAGAGAAAATTATCAAAGAAACTTTGAATATGGTCTTGAAAAATAGTTATCACTTCTGAAAATGAGAAAACTGCTCCGAGAAACATCTGAAACTGTTAAAAATCCTGCTCTTGCAGATGCAACGTGATGGCTGTGGAATTCCAAGTTTGCTGGCGCCTTTCCGACAAGAATCTCGAGCAAATTGTGTTCCGTGTGCCACGTATCAAGAAGGACGTCTTCCAGGATGACCTATTCCCAGATGCACTCGTCACTTGGGAGCCAGTCACCACGGCGGCTCGTTGGATGTCCGGACAGGAGTCGGCGCCAGTGTTCCGTTCGTTGAAACCTGATGGAGTGTTCTCGTCGAGTGAGTTGTTATGTTAGAGGCATCGTTAGAGGCAATGTCTTCAGAATCGTCTAGAGTCGTCTGTTACTATTTTTGGGTCTTCTAGATCTTTTGGAATACTCCAAAAAGTGCGAATTTCAATTCCAAAAACCTAATTTGAGTTCCAATTTTAGACTCTAAAATTTGATCCAAAAAATGTGAAAAAAATGGGCATTTTTAGAACCTAGAATTTTGTTCGAAAAATTAAAGATGAGCAATTCTTGCATTCTTGATATTCTACACATCTCTAAATCTTTCAATTTCCAGTCCCTCGTCCAATCGCCGCATCGGTCCGTCACTCTGAGATGCCGACGTCTTCTGCTGCCACGACGCCATCGTCATCTGCCACGCCTTCAACGGAAAAGCAGACGTCATCTACTCCATCACATCCGACGCCAATCGCACGAAACATGCAAAGCTGCGCCGTCGAGAGTGCTCACACGCCGGATCGTCAACAGGTGAGCAATCAGAATTCGATGGACGTGGAAGAAGAAGAAGGAGATTCTGAATATTTTACTGACGATCATCAGTCGTCTCAAGAGCTTCTGGTGGATCTAGGCTCAGATTCTGAGCAATGCCACGTGGCAGAGACACCGGTGCCCGCGGACAGAATCCGTATTCCAGCGTGTCTCTTGACACCGAATGAAAACGGGGAAGAGGAGGAGGAAGAGGATTATGATGTAAGAGGCCAATGGTCTTCTAGAATTATTTTATAACAAATTCAGGTTATTGAAACATATCTATAAATAATTTTGGCAATTTTGGTAAGATACTGTAACTCTGTGTCGGCCATCATATCACACCTCTGTAACGCAAAAGTTCCGAATTTTTTGGTTTTTTTGATTAAAATTTTTAATAGTTTCGGCTTTTTTCTACTTCTACTATAGGCTGAAATTACAATATGCTAAAAATTTTTTTTTGCATTTTTTTTTGGAATCAAAATGCAAGATTTTTTGGTTATGGCTTCTCCAATCCTCTTCCTTCGATTCTCTCGCCCTATCATTGTCCTTGTGCTGTTTTTTCCCTCGAAAATTTGGTTGTGAAAAGCGCTCTGAGGAGAATTTTCGATGAGAATTCTCAATGGAGCGTGCTTTCAACTTTAAAAAAACATTTAATTTCAATTTTTAGGTCGCTGCCGCCTGGTCGACTAAAATTGACCTGGACACTCGGCTCGAACAAGACCAAATGGAAGGAGTGGACGAAACGGAATGGAATCAATAGACTTCTTTCATATAATGTTTTTTTTCCAATTTTTTCACTGTCTCATGATATCCATTTCGCCTCTTATCACCCATATACACACACAATGCTCTCACGGTTCACTGTAAAAAATTGTTTCGTTTTTCCCTCGTCTCCTCCTCTATTTTGTCTTTTTTTCTATCAAATTTATTGATGCTTTATTCATATTTTCTCGGATAGTAGCACCCTTTTGTCTCCACTCTCTCTCTCTCCACTTCGTACCATGTTTCTCTATTTATAAGCTCCGCCCCCCGATTCCGGGGAGTTTTTAGTCGACGATTTTATTTTTTTTATAATTTTTTGGTGCCCGTATCAATCAAAAAAAAAAAATTGCGCTTGCTCTCTTCTCTCGTTTTTCCCCGTCACACACCCAAATCCCACCTAGTCTCCGCCCACTTTTTGAGCTCCCCGATGTGTTTTAGCATCTCTCTCCTCATATTAAAGGCCCCGCCCCCATCACTTTAATTGCAGCTTTCGTCTTTTTTGTATTTCCCCTGAAAAATGCCTCCATTTGTGTCCCCCACCCAAAAATCGCCTTCAACACAATACAAGTCACTCTATGTAAAAGTATGTTTCAATGAAATAAACCGTAGAGAATTGTAAATCACCGTTTGGGGATTTTTCTGGGATTGAATGACGAAAAAAGACATTTTTGCCGATTTAAAACTTTCAGACGAGAGCGGTTGCGTCGCTGTCGCAGTTCAAATCTGAATAAATTTGAAGCCGTGCTCTTATCCTCTCGGAACGAACTGAAGTTTTCCAACATGCGCCTTTAAACTCAACTACAGTTTCATTCAAAAAAATCAGCAAAAACAATAAAAATTAACAGAGAACAACAGAAATGCAAATTATGCTCAAAAACAACAATGAAATCCCTTAAATATTCAATGAACCAAATGATCAGCTTCTCTTAATAATATGGGTAAAAATCGCGAGGTCCGTAAGCATCGAAATCGAAAGGATCATCGTTATAGTCGTATTGATCACTTTCTTCGTCACTATTGTCACTATCATCGTCGTATTCGTCACTCTCCTCAAAAGAGCTTTCCGAATCATATTCATCCGATGAGTGAATTTCGTAAACTTTCGGTTCTAAGATGGAAATCCACTCCTTGCAGTTGTTATCGTATTCCGATTCCTTCATTTTAGAAGAAATCACCTTTAGACGGAAGAATTCAACAAAATGAAATATGATTGTTTCATCTAATCCACGCTCCAGAAGAATATGGCGATCTGAATTATTTGTACTAATTCTGATTCGTCTCTCGCTTTTCGATCTGAAACTTATGGTTTTTAGCTTTTTTTTTTGAAAATAATGTTCATTACACAATAGAATCGGTGAAATGCTCCAAGAACGCATCGAATGAGCCTTCTTTGTAGACAGAAGCTTGAAAAGTGAATCCTACTTTCGCATTTGTTTCGATCCACATCTAAAATCGTTAAAATTGTTTTAAAAGAGAATTTAATTCAGTTAGTTCAACCTTTGCCACTTTATGAAGGCTATCAATTTCTTTGTGGTTCTGGAGATGCCAATAGGGGACATTTTGAACCTGAAGAAAACGATTATTTTCATTATTCTCATAAATACTTAAAAACCGAGCTCTGCTAATACAGGTTTTACGGCAGATTTCGTCTAGCTAATAATGTATTACATTTGAGACTTCGAGAATTTCGTCAAATTGGTTGAACACTTTTCTATCGACATTGATCTTGATCGATTCGACACCATCCTCCATTTTCCGAAGAACAGAAGGGACCACATTATTCATTTCGCACTGCTCGATTTCGACGTCGGTATTAAATCCTTCATTATCAGTGAATAAATCTCCAAAAGAAAGCTTGAGATTTTTGAAAACTCCGACTTTCTTAATGTATTTCAAAAATCCAACAGCATCATTGATATTTTTTGGGCTTTTCAAGAAATTGTTATTTTTGTCACGGTTAAGCTTGAAAACGACATCTTCATCGTCTCCCCAAAATTCGCCGCATTGAAATTCAATTTTCTGTGAATCAACGAGCGACCTTTCTGCTTTCGCAGTGCATCGGAGCAACAATTTAGAAAGCATTGATAATTTAATGAACACTCATATATTCAATTGTATTTATAAATACCTCTCCTTGAATTCCATTTTTCCAATACATTCCAATTTGACTTCCGGTGGCATATCACACCAATTGGTGTCGTAAATTGGATTTTTCGATAATTTTTTGAATTTTTTAGTATTTGATAACATGCTGTAATGAGAAATTGAGAAAATCTTGGAGAAAAATGCAAAACAAGGGGAAAAACCAATTGAAAATAGTGTGAGCAAGAGTACTGTAGTTTAAAGGCGCATGCAAGAAAGGTTCGAGGATTTTTTGGACACGAAAAGGGAAACAATTTTATTTACCAAAGAAGATAGATTTGAACGTTTGAAACCTCTTTTTTTGCAGATTTTCTGCATCTACTGACCACTCTTTAGTCTTCTGTTTCAGATTTTTTATTTTCTTGGATCTCCATTTCAGTTCAGATAAACCCCGCCATGGTGACCGTACCACAGTCTATGAGAGCACAACAACTAGGAGGAAGAGAAAAAGTGGGAAGAACCATCTGGGAGGAAAAATGGGCGGAGCCTAATTTGCAACCCTGGCACGGTTTTGCCGCATGGTTTTTTCTTGACCAGGTACCAAATGGTAAAAATAAACCATGTGGCAAAACCGTGCCAGGGTTGCAAATCAAGCTCCGCCCCCGGCTCCGCCCATTTTTCCTCCCAGATGGTTCTTCCCACTTTTTGTTTTTCTCCCAGTTGGTGTGCTCTCCAGTCTATGTCTCTCGGCGAAAAAAGGAATGTCGTAAAGTTTGGTGTCATCTACGCAACCACCGACAGACGAAAATTGGCGCTAATCGCAAATTTTGAAACTTTTCTTTTTTCAGATTTCTTTCCAATTCAACTAACCGATAAAAAACGAGAATCTAACAACAAGCAACATTTCAGACTAACAAAAACCAGCAAACAATAAAAATAAGATTTTCAGAAAATGGGTCTGATCCAACGTCTTCCAGAAGACGTTGTGAATCGAATGGCGGCTGGAGAAGTGCTCGCAAGGCCATGTAATGCAATAAAAGAGCTTGTTGAAAACTCTCTAGACGCTGGTGCAACTGAAATAAAGGTTATGATGCAGAATGGAGGTTTGAAAACACTCCAAGTGTCGGATAATGGAAAAGGAATCGAACGAGAGGATTTTGAATTGGTTTGCGAGAGATTCGCCACTTCGAAACTACAAAAATTCGAAGATTTGATGCATATGAAGACGTACGGATTCAGAGGAGAAGCGTTAGCATCGCTAAGCCACGTGGCAAAAGTTAATATCGTTTCGAAACGGGCGGATGCAAAGTGCGCATACCAGGGCAATTTTTTAGGCGAGATTATGAAGCTAAATCGGTTGAAATTATGAATTATTCCAGATGGAAAACTTCTTGCACCCACAAAACCAGCCGCCGGTAAAAATGGAACATGTATCACCGCAACCGACCTATTTTATAATCTTCCAACACGAAGGAATAAGATGACAACCCATGGAGAAGAAGCCAAAATGGTCTACGACACATTGCTCAGATTCGCGATTCATCGACCGTAAGAAAACATTTTCTGGGAGAAACGTGGGCGGAGTCGGGGGCGGAGCTTAAATTGCGAGCTTCAAAAAATTGCGAAAATTCCGGGGAAGAAATTTTACGGGGAAACATTTTCTGGTAATGATGATATGACTCAACAAATCCACTAATCCGGTGAAGACATCTGGAAACAATTCGACGGTGTCTATAAAGCAGGACTCGCCAAGGGTGTTGGTGTCTCAAACTGGAATAATTCTCAAATTGAGAGAGCTTTGGCCCTAGGAGTAACTCCTGTTCATAACTCTCAAGTCGAGCTTCACTTGTATTTCCCACAACACGATCATGTGGATTTCTGCAAGAAGCATGGAGTCTCTGTAACTTCTTATTCCACTTTGGGAAGTCCTGGACGTGTGGAGCTTACTCTTCCAAATGGAATGTGAGTTATCGGAACCAAACCGCCTACTTTGAGGCAATGTATCTCATTTCTTGTTGGAGGTATCAAAAAGTGGTTAACTGCAAAACTGTTTATCATACTATCAAAAATGCTTT